ACATCCTTCGGTTTCATATGAATCGTTCGATGCTTAGTGTCATTGTAAGAGGAGACAATTTCCCTGAGAATATCAATCCATCGATATGAGCCTTGAAGCGAGAATTTTTTCCACATTTTCTCCTTCAACGTACGATTGAATCTTTCACAAATCGATGCTTTTAAATTGTTATATGTTGAATACATTTTTATATCGAATTTCTGCATGAGGTTCTTAAATTCTTTATTATAGAATTCCGTCCCTTGATCAACATGCAGATTTTCAGGTACACGACCTTGTTTTAATATGGAGGACATAGCTTCAGTTACATTTGATCCACTTTTGGTTTTGATCGGTACTGCCCAAGCATATTTGGAAAAAATGTCAATCGTTGTAAGAAGAAACTTGTACCCGGCATTTTGTTGGGCATATGCTGACATGTCAACAAGATCAGCCTGCCATGTTTCATCTAAATCTCGTATGTCAACATGACGTCTCCGATAATTTCTACGTGCTGGTCTGTGAAGTTCTTCAACTAAAGCTTCTTTCTCAGTCTTGAATGTTTCGTTTCCTTTTCCTTGATTTTTTTGCTTCATTGTCAGAGAGATGAGTCGTTCGTTGTGGAGCAGATCTCTTGACAAGTTTCACTTCTCTTTGATTTTCTCAAAATACTTGCGATGAATCTATAGTGTTGTCTTCAATTAATTTATCAGTGTTAACCTTATTTGAACTTCCCTCACCACCAGCTAAGGCTTGACTGCCTTCGAGATTCTTCATGATGAGCTTTTGTCATCAATAGCATCAGCAATATTACATAATCGTTTGTTTTTTATATCAAATTGTCCATCTGGTGTAAGTTTAAACCCCCTTCCTGGTGGTCCTCGAACATTTGGAGGGGTAAATCCGCCCCCAGTCAGATGTCGTCCGAACATATCAACGCTCATCTTGATACTAATCTTCAATACTGTGACTATTCTTTAATATATGAATCCAGCTTCTCTCAATTCTTCAATGATAGAGATCATTTCATTGTTATGATTGTTATTTCCCGCAGCCTCAGATGCGTATAACAATCGGAGTCTATCTACCAACTCATTAGGATCATCCCAGTATACATAATCAATATTACGCTTTCGTCGAGCAATCATCTGATTTGATAACCCTTTTCCGCGTGGAGATTTTATCACAAATTTTTCGATTCTTTCTTTATTACCCTGTCGCACACCTTTTTTCGGGTTGTAATGTGACATATTAAGATGAGTAGATTTCACAATTCTCGTATATGCACTCCTATCGTCATCCGTGATGAGGTCTGAATTGGGTGTGGCTTTGAAAAGCAATTCACGTAGTCCTGGCGTCTGTTTATACTCACCGTTACCAATGTATATTTGTTTTCCTTCAAACTGAATGGGTGTAGTTCCAATTACCATCTTATTTTTCAACATTCGGATTCCAATCTACGGATCTAATTCTCTCCTGCCATCTTCAGTAGTGAGTAACTGCAAGTATTCATCTACCGTAGTAGTCTCTGTTAATGTGTTTTTTGATAAGTCACTCTCATCATCATCGTCTTCGAGTATAGAATGATATCGGCTCATATCACCATCATATTCATCATCATCATCAATGCTAATCTCTTTCTTTGGTGTCAGAAAAGCTGATGATGAAGCTGACTCAGTGACGTGCGGTCTCATTTTACGAGTATTCATCTCAATAACTCTACTAGAATGTGATGGAATGGGTAATCCAATTTGGTGATCTTGTTCTGGAATCTTCAGTTTCTTCTTCTTTCTTGCTATTCCGGAATCAGTAGTTTGTTCAACGAGTTTTTGTAATGGTGTAACCATCGGTTTGAAAACTTCGTCGAGGACTTTATCCGTATCATTCTTTCCTAGTTTTATCAGCTCATGTTTCTTACGAATCGCTTCACTTGCATTCGTAATTTGCTGTAGCATATGTTTCTCTTTGTTCAGCGTACAACTCGACATGTTGAAGTCCGAAATACAACTGTCAGAGAGATCAAACATCTTAGATATTTATAAAACAATCAAATCCTCGTCGATAACGCCCATCATTAATTTCTCTATCCTTATCTATCACTAGAAAACTATATTTATCAATATTCCAGCATAATGAGCATAGGCTTTTGAATTGATTATATGTCATATCTGTGTTCACATGATCCTCATAGATATGCTGTAGATTCATATCATCCTGCTTAAATAATATCAGTAAATTGGCATTATCGCGCACGAGGTGTTTGGGTATCCTCGTATAAGTTTGACAAAGATAAAAGCAATCAACATCTCGATGTCGCCCCATACAGAAAAAAGCTCAAACGTTATCTTGTTTTTCACATGCAACATCATCAAAAATAAAGATAGAATTAGGTTGCGCATCATCAGGTTTTATAACGGTTTAATGTTCATTGAACGGGAAATATCCAATCGTATTGGTTGATTCTAAGACTTTCTTCAAAAACTCGTATTTTGGTTGGTTCAAAGATTTTGAATACACGTAAACATTTTCAAATCTTAAGCCATTGGGATGTGTAATGAGAGCCAATAATGCATTCGTCTTCCCACAATTCCAGGGACCACAAAAAATGGCGCGCACTGTATTTGGTAGCAATTCCCCATGACGTTTATCCTTCACCTTGTCAGTATCAGTCTGAGTAATCTCATCGAAATTCAGAATTGGTAATTCAACTTTTTGTTCTCTGAATTTCATCTTCGCTGATTAGCGTAACACACAACATCCACATGTAAACTGAGGTAAAATGTATAAATAGTGAGTATTTATACATTTCACATTCAGTTGGACAGATGCTATGGAAGTGAGCAGACGTAAGAAAAGTAGTAAAGGTTTCATCAATAGGATCATTAATAAATTGCCAATTGAACTTCATATTCCTGGTTATCAATATTGTGGACCAGATACAAAATTAGCTAAAAGATTAGCTCGTGGTGATCCCGGTATTAACCCTTTAGATGAAGCTTGCAAAGAACACGATATTGCGTATTCAAAAAATCGAGATAATCTTTCAGCTAGATATAAGGCTGATAGAATCTTACAAGAGGCAGCTTGGGGTCGTGTTTTATCGAAAGACGCAGGTTTAGGTGAGAAAGCTGCTGCATGGGCAGTAGCTAATACTATGAAAGCTAAAACAAAGTTAGACATTGGATTGATGAAGAAGAAGAGAATCACAAAGAAACGTGGGAAAAGTCTTGTGAAGAAGAAGGGGATCACAAAGAAAGTTGTGAAACGTCTTGTGAAGAAGAAGAAGAAAACATGTGCTCGTGGTGTTTCTCAGAAAAAAATACCTCTGAAACAGATAATTCGGATGGCGAAACAGGGAATACGTCCCGGAGACGCAGTCAAATCGGCTCTTCAGGCAGCACGGGATGCTGTCCGAAAAGCTGGAGGAAAGTGTTTCATCAAATCACCACGAATATTGCCAGTTCCCGGAAAAATTGGAGGAATCTTACCATTCTTGATTCCATTGTTTGCTGGTCTAAGTGCCACGGGAGCTTTAGCTGGAGGCGCCGCAGGCATTGCAAAAGCCGTAAATGATGCGAATGCAGCTAAACAGTATCATGCGGAGAACAAACGTCATAATCAATCAATGGAGGCAATTGCAATGGGTAATGGATTATATTTGAAGCCATACAAAACAGCATTAGGTCTCCATTTGAGACCAAAAAACTAATCAAGCTACCACACCGAGCCCTCAGCGATGCAGATATCATAAAATTTGCTAAATTAATGAAAATTCCATATTTTCGAGGAGTATTCATGAGAAATGCGTTACCCAAGAATGGACCTCAGAAAAATAAATCAGCTGTCGTCAATTTAGATGATAAAGATGGTCCTGGCACGCATTGGGTGGCATACAGAAAACGGAATAACGAAATTACGTATTTCGATAGTTTTCGAAATTTACAACCGCCAAAGGAACTTATGAAGTATTTCGGTGTTGGTAGCATCATCAAATATAATCACCAACAACATCAAGAATATGATACAGTAATATGTGGNAAATCAGCTGTCATCAATTTAGATGATAAAGATGGTCCTGGCACGCATTGAGTGGAATACAGAAAACGGAATAACGAAATTATGTATTTCCATAGTTTTGGAAATTTACAACCGCCAAAGGAACTTATGAAGTATTTCGGTGTTGGTAGCATCATCAAATATAATCACCAACAACATCAAAAATATGATACAGTAATATGTGGACATTTATGTCTTAAATTCCTCGATCACAATCTATAAATAGTGAGGATTATGATATACTGAATCAGTCCGAAGACAACAAACATGAGTGAATCTTTCACGCTAACATTATCGGGAACGTCTTCAATTTTAGAAGCCAATTATTTCCCACCAATTGAGCTATCTCCTAGTCATCATTACAGTTTGAGTCTTGTGGAATTGCCGACATTCAATTCAATTCCGAATATTGATGAAGGGAAGAATAAATTTTATCATTCTGATGGTGAGAGAGAACATACCATCACGATACCAACAGGTAGTTATGAAATCGACGAAATACAAAACTATTTGCAAAAAGTCTTGCAGAGAAGGGGTGTTACTATTGATTTGAAAGCAAATAATAACACCTTATGCAGCAAAATCAGAAGTAGTCATATAATAGATTTTACTCCTTCCGATTCCATTGGTCAACTATTGGGCTTCGATAGGAAAATTTCAACCCCTGATAGAACCCACATATCAGATTTACCTGTAAGAATCCTCAAGGTCAGTTCTCTGTGTGTGGAGTGTAACATCACCAGCGGTGCTTATATGAATGGGGAGAAGGTACACATCATACATGAATTTTTTCCTACTGTACCACCAGGATATAAGATCATGGAAGTCCCGAAAAACCTCATTTATCTACCGATCGCCGTGCAAGCCATAGATCATCTCCAGCTCAAGTTAGTAGATCAACATGATAAATTGGTGAATTTTCAAGGTGAAACTATAACAATAAGACTTCATGTGAAGCGAACATAATGGGTATTGTATTCAGAACGAAAATTGGAAAGAATTATAAAAGTACGTTATCGAAGCGAGGAGTCAACAGTCGTCACGGGACCGGCAAACAGTTAACACATGAAAATATTCAGTTCCTCAAAAGTTTGAATTTGAAACCAAGAGTGCAGAATATATATTGAACAGAAAATCATGGAGGATATATGGAAAATTCAGAAATCTGTTGAGTTTGATGAGTCGATTGCTCATTATGAGATGCATGCTCATGAACCATTTGCCTCATCATCATTCGGTAACAATTAGGATGATGTGATTTCAATAACAGTACAACATCAGGATTTGTGTCTTTTACCAAGTAAAAGTTATTTGCACATCTATGGACGTTTGACAAAAGAGGATGCTGCAGCTCCAGTCGAAAGAACCAGATTCGTGAATAATGCTATTTGTCATCTGTTTGAAGAGATTCGATATGAACTCAATGGTGTTGAAATTGATCGTGCGAAAAACGTTGGATTGACAAGTCTTATGAAGAATTATGTTTCACAAAAGCCTAGTCAATGGCCTTTATTGGAAAATGCAGGTTGGTTGAAAAAAGATACTATGGATAGTGATGAGACAATTACAAATGCAAATGGGTATTTCGATATTTCTATACCATTGAGTTTGATTCTCGGCTTTGCTGAAGATTATCAGATAATCATTGTGAATGGAAAGATGAGCTTATCCTCACGAGATCCAAGACGGATGTCAATGCCATTCTTCAAAGAGCAATCACAGTTCAAAATCCTGAGGAAAAATATAAAATCACATTACAAAAAATTGAGTGGTTAATTCCATATGTCAAAGTTTTTGATGAACGCAAGGTGAAACTGCTCAACTTTATTGGCAAAGATACACCCATCGGAATAGGATTTCGCACCTGGGAGCTGTACGAATATCCTCTACTTCCTACATCATCGAAGCATGTTTGGGTGGTGAAGACGTCGAACCAGTTAGAGAAACCACGATATGTGATCCTAGGATTCCAAACGGGATGAAAGACCAAAATTACTAATGCTAGCAACTTTGATCATTGCAAAATTCGGGATGTGAAGCTATTTTTGAATTCACAAAGTTATCCATATGGAAACATGAATCTTGATATTGATCATAATCAATTCTCTACATTGTATAATATGTATGTGAACTTCCAAGACTCATTTTATGGAAAAGAACCAGAGCCATTGCTGACTAGATCAGAGTTCTTGAAGAAAGCTCCATTGATTGTTATCGATTGCTCGAAACAGAATGAGTACCTGAAGAGCGGTCCAGTCGATATTCGTCTAGAATTTGAATCAGCTTCACATTTCCCAGCTAATACATCAGCCTACTGTCTTATTCTCCATGATCGAATCGTTGAGTATAATCCGATCAGTGGTGGGGTTAGGAAGCTCATGTAAACAACCAAAGGTACAAATATGATGATGTAGCCAAGATAAGAATCAGTCTCATATCAACTTTTAGAGCAACAACTTTATTCAAGATGGATAAGGGCAAAAACGATAGTTCCAAGTCTTCGAGCACGAAGTCCTACTCAGACTATCAAAAGGATACATCTCTCAAAGGAAGTGAGCCGTACTATGGTTCAGTGGATGCAGGACGTTATGGAGCAGTAGGCGATGGGACATATAAAAATAAATAAATGAACATAATCATGTATATTAAAAAATGAATATATTTTTTTTTCTTATCATTAATAAAAATCTCATCATTGTACACACCCTATTCTCATAAACATTATTATAATAACTTAAAACTATTCGAACCGCGTTTCAAAAACGATCTGTCCATGTTTTTGTCATAATATGGGATACAATATTTTTTCGCATAAACTTATTCGACGTCTGAATCGATCATGATCTCGAGCAATCTCTTCCCAGGGACCTCGACGAGCGGATCGATATGCATAATCCCAATGTAGAAGCAGATCGATTTCCGATTGTAGGTGGAAACTAACTTTCTTCATTTTCTTCTCTTTTTTCACACATCTGCGTAGTGATTGTCAGCATTTCAAATCAAATCAATCTTCTCATGACCGCGAGAGATGAAGAAAACCTCATNCGAGCGGATCGATATGCATAATCCCAATGTAGAAGCAGATCGATTTCCGATTGTAGGTGGAAACTAACTTTCTTCATTTTCTTCTCTTTTTTCACACATCTGCGTAGTGATTGTCAGCATTTCAAATCAAATCAATCTTCTCATGACCGCGAGAGATGAAGAAAACCTCATACTCAAAACTGAGTAGCTCAACCACATCACGTAAATTTTGTAAAATGTTATTGATTATTCTCAACGTCTGAGATAATTTCTCACAGGAATAACATTTTGATCCTTGGTTAGGCTGGAATTTTGAGCGCAGATCTCTAAAGTTCTTGCGTATTCGATTGATGAATTCATCTAGTGGCGGGAGTTCTGGTGATGCATGGATCAATACTTTGCTCACAATCTCACTCTCACTCAACCAATACGGTGGAACTGAGTGCAGCCATTGAATCTCATTGACAGTCAATGGTTCCAGCTCATCATCGTCATCGACTTCCGTTATCTTCTCCCTCAGCTCCTCGCAAAATTTCTTCAATTTCTGCAAATTATCAATATTCTGAATGATGTATGATAATTGTTCATGTTGACTGGTGCAATAATGAAAGTCATTCCTCCTCTCATGATATCGATCAGCTTTCAACACCTCATGATTGTCCCATAAACAATGTAAATCGGCCACAAGATATTTCACCAAAGTATGAAAACTTTTATCAAAATACTCATCGATTATTTCTTGATCAGTACTAGTTTCATCATTACTTCGCAAATGATGAGTTGGATAACACATGAACATAAACCTTCAAGGTAATCAATTGTCTGTGCTAATTTAGACTAGTGAGTTAGTTTGCTTTTACAAATCACTCTGTTTTACACAAGTAATAAGAAATTTGAAATAATTCGGGAACTGCTAACGATAATATGACGAATTCCCAAACCATAAGGTAAACTTCACGGTACGAGTTGAGATTTACTAAACTACGCTTGACGCTAGATTGAGTGTTGATCGGGCAGGGTTCGCGAGTTATACAGGGTGTTTCAGAAGTACATGTACATCTGAACACCTTAGGATC